CAAAAAATAGTTGCACTGGTGAATTAGCAAAAGACAAGAAGTAAAGGACAATCCATTCCAGAACTGACTTTAGATCCTGACCCTCAATAGTTTCTGTAATTAATATTTGTTTATTTATATGCTGATATCTCCTTCCTTTTATAAATTGTAAGGTAGCAAAGGACTGCTTATGTTACTCTGTTCTTAATTTCATTCTAAGCATATTCTGTACCGTGGTGGTATGTGACCCGCAAGTTATTTGTTCAATATATACAGAAATTTGCAAGGTTGATTCATAAATTAACTTAAAAAGTATTTACTATGGAGAGCTTCCAGGTTTAGTAGGCATGTAACAAATTACTATTCATTTATTGTGTGACTCAATATATAACCACTACCATATTTTTATATGCATTATTCTTTATCTTGTCATCACATTTTTTATTTGTTGATATTAATTTTCTGAAGTTAATGATTGTATTATTAGCATTTCATTAACTCTTAATGTGGAGTTTAAAGGAAATAATTTATTAAAAGGACACATTAGTTTAAATGACAAATTCTGCCTGCATTTTAGCCATTTGCTTTTATTGTCTTTTTAATGGTGTCATCAGTTGTTTTTAACCAGATAGCCAGTTCTTCATTCATTGAAAGATTATTATGGAATATATATATACATATAATTCTAAAATTAAAATACATGAAATGAATACTTTTAATTACATTTTCTAATAATAATAGTAGTTGTAGAGAGCATGAAATTGTACAAGTCTAGGTTGTGTTCATTTGATTTGGAATGATATGAATGACAACAAAGCAACGATGTTTTTTTTTTTTTTTTTTTTTTTTTAAAGATTTATTTTTATTATTTTTTCATTGGAAAGGCGGATATACAGAGAGGAGAGACAGAGAGGAAGATCTTCCGTCCGATGATTCACTCCCCAAGTGAGCGCAACGGGCCGATACTATGCCGATCCGAAGCCAGGAGCCTCTTCCGGGTCTCCCACACGGGTGCAGGTTCCCAAAGCTTTGGGCCGTCCTCGACTGCTTTCCCAGGCCACAGGCAGGGAGCTGGAAGGGAAGCAGGGCTGCCGGGATTAGAACCGGCGCCCATATGGGATCCCGGGCGTGCAAGGCGAGGACCTTTTAACCACTTGCGCCACCGCGCCGGGCCCAGCAACGATGTTTTAAATTAATCGTGGAAGGCTGAAATATAAAATATGGGCACTTAATGAAGTAGCACATAGTGGACTGTGAACTACCCAGATTATTTATTTTCTTGACTATTCTACAGATAAAATTTGATTTCACCTAATTAAATGCTCTAACATTTCTCTATAAAAATCCAATTAGCAATGAAATAAAAGAAGTAAAAGAAGTGGAAGCAGAGTAGAGGAAGATGTTTTAATTGATAGTGTGTGTAAAGTGGAGGTAGAGAATTCAGGAGCAGTCATGGACATGTGAATTTAGACCCTTAAAATAGAGCCATTACTTTATCCCATTCTGCTTTTGAGCTGAAGCCTTTATTCTTCTCTCTTTAGATGTGTACCTTTCACTCACATGAAACTGTCAGTGTCCACTTAATTGCATTTTGTTTTATTGTAAAACGCAGTGTTTATACATGTTCTTTTCTTTCCATTGTAGCTTCTACCATTCCTTATATAGTTCTTTAGCCCAAATTTTAAAAAAATATTTCACTTCTCATCCATCTGTCTTTAATCCCTCTCCAGTTGAATTATTTTACGTGGTATTCTTGTAACTGGTCTAGTGCTGAAGATGCCCGTGTCTTAGATGCTGGGTTCTCGTCCCAACTCTGCCTCTGGTTTCAGCTTTGTGTTAATACTGACCCAAGGAGGCAGTGGTGTAGTGTTGATGGCTCGGTAATTGAGTCCCTGTTATCCATTCGGAATACCTGGATTTAGTTCCTGGCTCTGAACTTTGTCCTGGCCCAGGCCCAGCCGCTGTGGGTGTTTCGGAAGTGAATCAGCAGAAGACAGCACTCCAACAGCTGCACAGTGCATTCTAGTGCCCTCATAAGTTTTGCTACCCTCTGTGTGGTGCGTGGACAGCTGCTGCTTCGTGCGTGTGCTTTGACTCTCCTTCAAGAATCTCTCCTTGCTTGCTTTGTCTTCCTGTTGTGTAACGCAGACTAAAACAACATGCTGAAATATTTACAAAATTTTCTACCTTTCAATCCTCCCAGTTCCTTTTTTCGATAATAAATAGAGAGGAAAATTGGAGAAGCATAATTGTATGATAGATTCACATAGTAAACAGGAGGAATTCAGAGTGGAAATAAAATGTAAATTATGAGTGCTGAGTGCATTTTAAAGTAACTGAATGAAGCATGAGGTTTTTGTCTAAGAAATGGGCAAAAAGAACTGCTACAAAATTTGGTGATGTGCTAGGAATATATAATACAATTCTCCATGTTTCACATATTTTACGTATTTAGCACTTAAAAAATTTTGTGATGCATTTTTCTCATATGTCTATACATGTATATCATGATAAAATATACCGGCAGTATAATCTCCTATTACCTATGTAAATAGTCTTTTATAGTGTGTGTATGCGCACACATAAACGTGTGTTTATGGCCTCCTTCCTTTGTCTTCAAAACCAGCCAGAGAAGGCAGGGCTAGTTTTTATGCTGCCATTCCTGTGGTTCTCATTTCTGATTCCCTCTTGTACATTTATAAACCAAGATTGTATTAGGTCCACCAAGATAATCCAAGATAAATTTCTCATTTTGAAATCATTTTAATTTTATGTACAACACTTATCCCACTTTGCTGTGTAAGTTTTGTATGTTTACAGATTTCTGGAAATAGAATTTAGATGTCTTTTTGGAACGAGAACATTGTTCAACTGCCTCATTTTCCCATTTGGCTAATTAGAATATAGCTCTCTTAATTTTCCCTCACTTCCAATCATACTCCCATTATAGAGTATGTCACTGTTTGTATTAAATCTGTATTCAATCTTTTATTATGTAGAATTCATATGTTTATTCCTAATTGTCTCTCTTTAAAAAAAAAGTTTTTATTTTTATTAGAAGGACAGATTTACAGAGAAGGAGAGATAGAAAGAAAGATCTTCTATCTGATGGTTCATTACCCAAGTAGCCACAACAGCTGGAGCTGAGCTGATCTCAGTCTCCTCCAGGTCTCCCTCATGGGTTCAGGGTCCCAAGGCTTTGGGCCGTCCTCAGCTGCTTTCCCAGGCCACAAGCAGGGAACTGGAACAGCTGGGACACGAACCAGTATCCACATGGGATCCTGGAGCATGCAAGGGGAGACTTTAGTGTTCTGACTGCTTCACTTCCCATCCAGCTATCAGAAAATATGTCTAGGAAAGCAACAAAGGTCAAATACTGATAAATATGAAGTTAGACTTTCAGTTGTATCTTACTGATTCATTTCTCTGTTGTTTCATGTTAGTACCACTTTGTCTGAACTTCCCACACTTTTCAGAACTTGAAAACAGGAAGTGAGAATCCTCTAGCTTTGTTGTTTTCAAGATTGCTTGTTTAGTGTTCTTTGAATTTCCCCATGATTTTTAGAATTCTCATCAGTTTTTGGTGAACTGTCTGTTGCTTCTTAGACAACTTAGTAGGCATAGTTGCATCAAAGACTGAATAGCTTAAACTTGAACACGTATGGTATGTGGGTTTTTTCTCATTGGCATTATTACAGGTTATGAGATTATATATCTAAAATATGGCATAATGCTTAGCACATGGTTAATACTAAATGCAGATTTAGCACCTAATCCAAAACTCTGAAATCCAAAACCTGAAATATTTCTTTGAAAGAGAGAAGAGAGACAAAAGTAGAGCTTTGGTCTGCAGAGTCAGTCCTCAAATGGCCGAAAAGACAAGGGGTAGGCCAGATCAAAGCCAGGAGCCAGGAGCATCATTCACATCTCCCACATTGTTGCAGGGGTCCAAGCACTTGGGCTATCTTTGACTGCATTCCCATGAGTATTAGCAGGGAGCTGGATCAGAACAGGAGCAGCAAGAGCAGCTTATAGGAGGAAATTAATCTTTACTACATCGCCAGTCCCCTGTATATATATCTTAATTTCCATTTTGATTTTTTTTAGATTTATTTTTATTATTTTTTTATTGGAAAGGCGGATATACAGAGAGGAGAGACAGAGAGGAAGATCTTCCGTCCGATGATTCACTCCCCAAGTGAGCGCAACAGCCGATGCTATGCCGATCCAAAGCCAGGAGCCTCTTCCGGGTCTCCCATGTGGGTGCAGGGTCCCAAAGCTTTGGGCCGTCCTCAGCTGCTTTCCCGGGCCACAGGCAGGGAGCTGGAAGGGAAGCGGGGCTGCTGGGATAGAACCGGCGCCCATATGGGATCCCGGGCATGCAAGGCGAGGACCTTAACCACTGCGCCACCGCGCCGGGCCCCTGTTTTGATTTTTAAACAATAGAGAATTTGATAACATATGGCATGCATTGCTTATGGTATTAGGTAAATCATAGTCACTGTCTTAAGTGTGTTCAGACAGTAAACATGTAATGACATATCTTATTTTGTGGCAAAGAAAAATTTAGGGACTACATTATAATCTTCAAATTCACTTTTTTTTCTTTGCACAATACTAGATACATATTTGGAATTCTGCCCAACTAGTGTGTAAATGTGAAAATGATCTAAAAACTGAAGTTCATTAATTAATTTTTACAAATCATGTCTGCTGTCAGTTTCTGATATTTGTTTTGATAGAATCCAGTAGTTAAAGTGGCATATTCAGCATTCTTGAAACCACCAATAAGGGAAAGCTAAGTGTAACTAAAACTGTGATATTTCCGCTTTGAGTAACTGTCATTATTTATTTCATTCAAGTTAGTAAACTGAAACTTAAGTACAGAATGACTGTTTTTCATCTGTGGTTATCGGGGAGGGCGCTGGGGGAGTATCAGCGGCTTTCTGACTCTATTGGTAGAAAGTCTCCTTATTTTACATACTGTTATTGGTTTTGAGAATATCTTCTCCTAATTGCAGGTTGGGTGGAACTATATCAGCATACAAGATAGTACCAGACGAAATAGAAGAAATCAAGGTATAGTATGGCAGTTTTCATCTTTACAAATACATCATCTTCGTGGGAGATTAAGGAAAAGCTGCTTTTTCTTTAAATCCTTGAATTTAAAGGTGTTTGTGAATCACTTATTTCTTCAAATCATATTTGAGTTAAAAATATATTTGTAACGCATTTCAAAGAAAAATATTAGGAGAGAAAGGTAACTCTTATACAAATCAGTGAAATATACATAAGGAAACATTGATATAAGCTCATGCTTATATCATGTGCCTTTTCATAGTGCTGCAAATTCTTTTTCCTGTATACCTTCCTCGTTTCATGACTACTTTAAAAAACAACCTTACTCTTGAAAACATAGAACTGCATTCTTCTCTTTCCAACTTTTTTATAAAAGTATATGGAACAATAATCATGTGGTACAGCATATTGTGTCTTGAGAACTAAATTACTATCTGTCCCACCAGTATTATTTAATCATCGGATAGCATTAGTCTAGGCTAAACAATACTGATGGTTAATGATGACATATAAAGACCTCAACATATTATTAAGCTTTTTTTTTTTTTTTTTGCTTTGATTAGAATCAATATAAAGTTCTGGAAACTTAAGACTTAGTAAATTTTTTTATTGTATAAGTTTTAGGGTGCAAAGAGTCTAGGGCTTGAGGAAAGTTTGTAGCTACATTGTTTTGACATTCTCTTTTTTCATTGCTATATCTGGGAGGAGGGGAGAGGCATGGGGAGAAGCCACCCACAGCTTCCCAACTATCCCAGGGTCCCTAATGTGGGGCATGCTCTGAGGGGCCTGTTCAAGTGGTTTTGAATGTTCAACAGTTCCGCATTGCTGCCAATCTTGCCACCCCAGTCATGATGAAATCTCTCTAGAATCTACCAGTTGGCATAGTCCAGCTTAGAGTTTCTGTTTGCCCAGGTGTTTACTGCCAACACTTGGCTGGGGAAGATGATCAACTTGTTCTGTCCTCAGTCCTCTGTTATGGTACCAGAGTGTCCTCTGCAGGCTCCAGTGTACTGCCATATCCTCCATATGCACCTGAATGTGCTGTTCGCTGCTCTGTCTAAGCCACTGAGGAGCCCCAGCTCTGACACATGTACTCCATATTTAGACCATGGAACCTGTAATTTCATCCATAGTTGTAGTTGTGAGTCCAGTGGTTCAGTTGGGAGGATTCCCAAGGAAACTTCACCTGAGGTGATGCCAGACCCAATTCTTGTGTGTGGATGCCAATACAGGGTCCGGCACAGTGTGTCACCCTTTTGGCCTTTGCGCACACTGCTACTTGCAATTACTGGGTCATTTGTCTCCAGCCCTGTCCTCTATGCAAACTAATGAGTGTTGCAGTCCACCCCGATCCTGCTCACCACACACTCAGACCCCACACAAACCAAAGGGAATTATAGCCTAGCTGGAGTGACCCACAATAGCTCCCATCAGGCCTGCCTCCTGTCCTGGTTGCCATGCTTGCCAATATAGTATTTACGGCAGACTGGTCCTTTCTGTCCCACATCCCATTCAGCTCTCATACATGTCAGTGGGCATTGAATCCTAGTTCAACCCAACTAGCCCCACTATCCATCCCACACATGTGTTGACAGGTGCCACTCTGTCTAGCTATGCCTGTCGCAGTCCTGATTCTCATTCTCACAAGTGAGAGTGGCAACCCAAGAGGGAGGTGCCCACTGTTACCCTAATGGACCCATTGCCACTCCCGGATCTTGCTTTCTCTAGGTGGTACTGCAGTTTAGCTCGACAGAGATTTCTCCCCATGCCAGCATCTGCTAGCTGATGCTATGAGCAATGCCTAACCAACCCTCACCCACTCTAGTTTATGCATGTGCCGGTAGGTACAGTCTGCCCAGCCTGGCTTGTTTCCAATCCAGCTTACATGCAGGACAGCAGGTGTTGTAACCCTGCCTGGCCTGGTCTGCCCTCAACCCCAGCTCTCATCCTCACAGTGGAAATAGTGGCCCAGCAGGAGATCTCCCTGCAGTTCCCCTACCAGATTTACCTATTCTCCCCCAGATCTCACATGTGCTGGTTGGGTGCTGCACCTCAGTCTGATATGTGTGGTACACCTCACCTTGATATTTGCCAGTGGGTACAGTAGCCTGGCCCAACCCAGCCCGGCCCCAGATCTAGCTCACGTTGAGGGGACTACAACCTAGCCAGCCCAGCCAGCCCCCAACCCCAGCTAATGTGAACTGGATGATATTGTGGCCCAACCTGGCATGGCCCACACACCATCCTGGCTCTTAGATTTGCCAGTGGGTATTATGATCTGGTCCAGTTTGGTTCACCCAGTTTTGAGCCAAAGGTAAGCTCATGGTTACTGTAACCTGGCCTGGTCTGAACTGCTCCCTTTCTTGCTTCTTGTGCTTACTTGCAGGGACTGTGTCTCAACAGGGGAGTTGCCAGCTCCTTCATCAGAATCTCTCCCAATATCAAATCTCATGCAAACCGGTGGGTGCATGGGCCAGCCCTACTTAGTCTACCTCCTGTCCTAGCAGAACCGTGGCCTTTCCTGACCAGCCTTCACCCATTCCATTTCTTATTGTTGGGTGGTATATCCCAGCCTAATTTGGTCCATATCCAGACATAGCTCATATATGACTCAGCAGATACAGAGACCTAGCCTAGCCCATTCTATATCCATCCTGATTCCCACAAGCTCTAATGGGTGTTGGAGTCTAGCCCAGTCTTGCACATCCCAGACCCAGACCACACTTGTGCCAAGGGAGACTACGTCCATATCCAAACCAGACAGCATCCCCCACTCTGACCCCCTTGCCTACCAGTGGGATCTATAACCCAGCCAAGACATTCCCTTAGCTCCCCAACCAGGCCTGATCCCAGCCACTGATCTTGTGCATGCCAGTGGTTGTTCTGACCCAGCTTGGCATTGTCCCAACTCTGTCTTGTCCTTTGACTTCAGCTGCTGAAGCCTGGCCTGGCCCAGCCAGTCCCCTGTCCCAACTCTTACTTGTGGATGCTGCAGCCTGGATATGCTCAGTCTGCTCTCATCTCTGGCTGATGCAAACTAGTAGGTATGGCAGCCTAGCCTGGCCTGATCTGTTCTCCATCCTATTTTCTGCACTTGCCCGTGGGCTCTGGTTTGCTCAGCCCTGCCCAGTTTGCCCCCTTCCAAAACCAACTCCCACACTTGCCGATGGATGGAGCTACCCAGCCTAGCCTGCCCACCACCCAGGCCTGGACCTCATGCTTATCATTGGGAGCTATGACCCACTAGGCAAGTTTCCCAGGTTCCCCTGCTTAGGCCACTCCCAGATTCAGATCTCACACATGCCAACGGGTGCTTGGCTCTAACCCAACATGGCCAGCCTCATCTGTCCCAGCCTTTGTATGAGCTGGTACAGCCCAGCCCTACACCCTGTTTTAGGGTGCTTATGCAGGTGCTGCAACCTGAACCTGCCCCACTTGTTCCCAGCTTCAGTACTGGTGAGCATTGGTGAGTTCCATGGTCATGCCTATCTCAGCCCATCACCATCTCAACTGTCAACCTAAAATCTAACCAGCAGGAGTTGTAGTAGCCCACATATCCCCTGCAGAAGTCACCCCTGGACCAGGTTCTTTTGTGTGCTGATTGATGTCATGGCGCAGTCTAATGTGGCCCATCCCCTATTCTGACACTGTCAGGTATTAGGAATCTAGCCCTGCTAGACAGATCCCCAGCCATAGCTTATATGGTGGTGTGTGGTGGTCAGGCATGTTGCATGCTAAGAAGCCCAACCCATGACTTCCATGTGAGCTGGTGCATCAGTCTGACTGAAAAATATCTCCTGTCTCTCCCCTCCAAACCACCAGGTCTCAGTCCCCTCACTTACCTGCAAGTGCAGTGACCTTGTCATTGGGTGTCCCTCAGGATTCATTCCTCACTGATGTGTGCTGTGGCCTTATCCATGGATGTTGCTGGGCAGTAACTGCATACCCCCAAGACTCCAGAGCTCGCTGCTGGGTGGCCAGCAGGTGGAGCCCGGTACATGTTTCATAAAAGGAGTTGTACTTTCCAGGAGCAGAGATAGACACATACTGTATTCATACCGTAGTGTAACTTTACTAGCCAGTATGCTAGTTTCTGTAAAACTGTATCTATGACAGTATTTGTATGTACTTGGTTACCTACATCTGCTTATCCTGTGGTTTACCCAAAAATTATCTTACATTGGAGAACATATGATATCCTTTTGGGACTGGCTTATTTTACTAAGCATGATGTTCTCCAGTTGTGACCTATTTTAAATCCTTTGTCAGTGATTTCTTTAGGAATATTAGAGGTCTTCAATAAGTTTGTAGAAAACAAATAGTATCAAAAACTATGCATGATTTACAGCATTTTTTTTTTTTTACCAAAGAAAACATGTTCTATTTACCTTTTTCAAGAAAGGGAGGGCATATTTCGAGGCTGTGTTAAGACTTGAAGCTTCAGGGCCCAGCAATCTTAGTGGTTAAAGTTCTCACTTTGAATGCAGCCAGGATCCCATATGGGCACTGGTTCTAATCCCAGCAGCTCCACTTCCCATCCAGCTCCCTGCTAGTGGCCTGGAAAAGCAGTCGAGGACAACCCAAAGCCTTAGGACCCTGCACCCGCAAGGGAGACCCAGAAGAGGCTCCGGGTTCCTGGCTTCAGATCGGCGCAGCTCTGGCCATTACAGCCACTTGGGGTGAACCAGTGGACAGAAGAACTTCCTGTCTGTCTGTCCTCCTCTCTGTATATCTGACTTTCCAAATAAATAAATAAATAAATAAAAATTTAAAAAGAAGCTTCAGAATGCACACACGATGACTTTCTGCTCCATTTTATTTTTCAAAGTAAGTAACAGTCCAGCCCAGTGGCAGGGAGAGAGAGATCTTTATTCTGTTGGCTCACTCCCTGAAGGGGCACAATATCCCAGGCTGGGCAAAATGAAGTCAGGAGTCATGAATTCTATCCAAGGACCCAAATGCTTAGGGCATTTTCCGTTACTTTTATAGGCACTTTAGCA